CTTCTATGTTTGACCATTTCTAATCTTGCTCCTAAGAATCTACTCTTCTTATCTTCAGGTCTTTAATTAAAGATATTTGATTATCCTTTGATTTTTTCTTGTGAATCTTCTTGACAGATCTTCTTTCCATCTTTATAATTATTCTTCCCGTAGTTGCTTTGATCTTCCCCTGTTGATGTTAAATTGGTCTTCCTTCGATCTCAGTCCCTTTTCTATTCCTGCAAAAACCATTTGCCATACTTAGTTCTGATTCTAATTTTGTCATCATAAAAATTGGGTGCTAACAATTTCCCACTTTTTGATGATGACAATAAAAATTTGAAAATGATTAATCTAAAAAAAATTGAGATCAAGACTTGTTACTTCCCTTAGTGAGCATGGAGTAAGTTTGACTTGCTCCACCTGAGTCGGTGCTACGGCTTCAGGTGCTGCTACGGCTTTAAGTGCTCCCCCTGAGTTTATTCTCCACCTTTGACATCAACAAAAAGGAAAATACAAAGGAGTTAGACACACAATAAAGCATATTGTTGACTAAATATGGAAGATAATATGTAACTCAACTACATACCGAACAGTCGGCTAGACAGAAGCAACCAGTCAAAAGATGTAAGTTTAGAGTTTACATCAAGGTTGCTGAATCATCAGTCCAACGCAAAACATAATAATTATCCAAAAAATATTCCATCAACTAAGCAGATTAAGCAGATTGAGATACTTGGTTATTGTCGTCATCCCCTGCAACAATATCTTTCTCGATCATAGGATTAATATCATCAAATATGACATGAAAAAATTCTTCTACGCACATAGTACGCTTGTTGTAAATCCTACAAGCTCTGCTAGTGTTTGGGTAGCCAAGAAATATACTTTCATCACTCCTAGGATCAAACTTTCTAGATTGTCCTTATCGTTGTTGTGGACAAAACATTTACATCCGAAGGGATGAAAATAACTGATATTTGGTCTCTTACTTTTCCATAGTTCATATGGAATCTTTTTCAAAATAGGTCGTATAAGACAACTGTTCAAAATGTGGCATGTTATGCTTACTACCTCTGTCCAGATGTGATTTGGCAGGGAGTATTCAGTGATCATTGTTCTTGTCATATCTTGCATGGTTCGATTTTTTGTGCTCCGCTACTTTGTTTTGCTGGGAGTATCTAGGTGTCGAAATATTGTGTGTGAATCCTTATTCATCATAGAATACTTTTAAAGGATTTGCTTTCGAATTCGCCTCCATGATCACTCTATATAGTAGAAATGTAGTATCCGTTTTCTCTCTGTACTTTCTTGCAGAAGATCTCAAAGTTCTTTAGAGCTTCATCTTTATGAGCTAAAAATATTACCAGGTGAAGCGAGAATAGTCATCTATAATAACAAATACGTACCTTTTTTTCTCCTATACTGGCAGTTCTGGTAGGACCAAAGAGATCCATGTGTAAAAGTTGTAAGGGTTTAGGAGTAATAACTATATCTTTAGACTTGAAGGAGGTGGTTTGCTTACCAAGTTGACATGCATCACATACATGATTCTTAGAGAAGTGAAGCTTAGGCAGACCAATGACCAATTCATGTCTAGACATTTTTTCAATTACTAGCATGACCAAGTTTCTTATGTCACAACCAGAGATCATCAGATATATATGCTAGACAAATATGCTTATTTAGGTTTTTAATGCAATCAAGAGTATAGACGTTACCATACCTTTTTACGTGGCAATATAGCGATACCTAATTCATGTCCAATGGTACATCTTGTCTTTTTTAATTTTACTTCATATCTCGAGTCGAATAATTGGCTAATACTTAGTAGATTGTAGTTTAGCCCATCCATAAGATATACATCAGTAATGTCGCACATGTTACTGAATGAAACTATTTTTATGCCAATGATTTTTCCCTTTTGAGCCATCACCAAATCTAACGTTACCTCCATCTATCACCCGTCATATGACTGGAAATTATCAAGATACTGTTTCCTTTTGTGATTCTTCTTGTGGTGTTCCTTCAAAATAGAAAAGTTACTTCCTTTCGGATAACAAGTTTACTTGGGTCCTTTTTTATTAGATCTGATGTTCCTGTATTAGTTTTTGGTCTACAGACCCATCCTTGATTATGACAAAATCTGTAATTTGAGTACTTATGTCCAAATTTGCCATAGTAGTAACATGAGTGAACAGACTGTTCATTAATAACAGATTTACATGTAGACTTACTTTGTCTATATGTGTTATTGGTAGGTCTTTTTCCAGTATACTCACAAGATTGAATTGGCTGGTTTGACCTAACTGAACCGTGATGGATTTATGCAGACCATTTATTTGCAATAGTAATTCCTGAACTTGTTCCTTAAAGTTTTCTCTTTCGAGTTCACAAACTTCAAGATTAGGTTCCAGATTCTTCTTTTCCCTATTTTGGCCTCTTTATTTCATTTACATAATCTTTTAATGCGGTATCTATAATATCTTGTAATTCATTACATCTGTCGCAGTTGTAGGGTCTTACCTCACTTGTTTCTCCCTTAGCCATAAGGCAGTGATCTGCTAAGTCTTCATGATCATCATCTGAAATGTCTTCATCAGTCCAGCATCCGGAGAAATCATTTTCATGGAGGGACACAAAGCATATATTTGCAGTTTCGTCATGATCTGTTGTGTCCTCATCACTCCAACACCCAATTGATCTAGTCTTCTGATATTCTTTGGATGTCTTCCTTTTTAGTTTTGGGCATTCAGCCTTGATATGTACATATTTTCAACATTCATAGCACTTTCCATCACTTCTTTCTTGTTCATTGAAATTTCTTGGTTTAATGGAATTTGTTCTGCCTTTCTTGGCGTTCCTGAATCTTTTCATTAGGCCATTCCCGGTTTTGGATACTATGGCAATTTCTCCTTTCGGGGCTTCTAAATAAATACTGAATGTAAAGTGTAGGAAAGTAAATGACATAATGATGCTTTTATATTGGTTCAAATTCAATATGGATCCTAATCTAATCCCTTGGGTTGCAAGAGGGTCTCTCTGTAAGCTCCTTGGTGAATTTGTAACAACTTCGTTGATGTGTTTCCTACGTACACACCAACCTTAATTCTACAGTTCTCGTTTCTTTAGATACAATGCCTCACCAATGATTTTATCTCTCTTCTCTCTTTTGATTACACAATAGTTCTCACTAAAATACAATGCTTGTTAAGAGCAGAACAAAGAGTTTGGAAGTTGAGTAGACGAAGTATGTCTTGAGTCTTCGTCTTCTTTTGAATATATAGCAGTTGATGCTCATCCTTGATTTGAGCCATTGATTTGATTTCCTTGATAGAGAGATAGTAACCCAAAGGATTTGATCATTGGGAAAGATATATTATGATCTTTTCCAAGAATAAAAGGTGGAGCTTTAAATACTCTGGGCTTCTTTCCTTGTGTCTTCTACTGGCCTCCATCATATTGCTGATTTCTTGTGATCTTTTCCAGGAACAAAAATGGAGCTTTAAATGCTTCGGTCTTCTTTCCTTGTGTTTTTTGTTGGCCTCTGTCATCTTGCTTAGGCCCCGGTTAGGAGGTGTGAGCGGTTGGCTGTGGCGGGTATGAGAAGAGGTAGAGCGCGGCCTAAGAAGTATTGGGGAGAGATGATCAGGTAGGACATGGTGCGGGTTCAGATTTTTGAGGACATGGCCTTGGATTGGAAGGTGTGGAGGTCGAACATTAGGGTGGAAGGTTAGGAGGTAGTTGAGCGTTTTTCTAGTTCGTACCGGGTGTGAGGCTAGTCTGATAATGTTTTGTGACTGCTAGTGGTTAATATTGTGTCCACACTATTTTTCCGTTTTTATAGTACTGTGCAATTATTAATGGTTATTGTTATTGCTTTTCCATTTATTTTCTGGCTCATACGATGCTGATATTATCTTCCTGGCTTCTGTCTCTTTTCGTCTTCTTGAGCCGAGAGTCTATCAGAAACAACCTCTCTACTCCTCCGGGGTAGGGGTAAGGTCTGCGTACACACTACCCTCCCCAAATCCCACTTGTAGGATTTTACTGGGTTGTTGTTGCTGTTGTTGCTATCTTCGCACATTCATCTCGCTGATATTTTTCCTTATTTGTCTTCTAATTCTTCCTTTTCTGTTTGACCATTGCCAATCTTGCTCCTAAGAATCTGATCTTCTTATCTTCAGGTTTTCAATTAAAGGTATTTGATTATCCTTTGATTTCTCGTTTTCCTTGTGAAGCTTCTTGACAGATATTCTTTCCTTTTTTAGAATTATTCTTCCAGTAGTTGTTTGATCTTCCCCTGTTGATGTTAAATTGATCTTCCTTCGATCTCAGTCCCTTTTCTATTCCTGCAAAAACCGTTTGCCATACTTAGTTCTGATTCTAAAGTGTCATCATAAAAACTGAGTGCCAACAGCCATGAATCTCCAGTGCCACTTTAGAGCAAACCTTTTTCCGTAGGTTGAGATTTTTTACTCCCAAGCCTCCAATTTGTTTGTTATTTGTGCCAATGTTCCATTTCACCTAAATGCATCTTTCTTCTATCCTGATTTCCCTACCACAGAATTGCACCTTCTCCTATCCAATTGCCTTTCCACTTTTCAGGCATAGGAAATAAGGACATAAAGTCAGCAGGAATCCCATCAATCATACTTTTTATTGAAAAGCTAGTTTGGAGAATTAAATCTATTTTCGGGGCTAGGGGAGGTGGCTTGGCATTTGATGCTCTTCGAAAAGCTAGAGAAAGTGAAATTAGACCTGTAGTTTGTTGATAAGTGATCAACTAAGAATCTATCTTTTCACAGGTAAAGAGGTTCGGTACAACATTTGTAGGTGGGGGGAAAAGATTCAGCATCAGTAAAACCTTGACACCTATTTCTATTTGTATAAACTAAATCTGCTTCTATAAAATTCTTTTTTCTTACAATTAGTTGCCTATGTTACAGTTCACTGTTAGTTTATTTTTCCATCTAATTGCATATTGAGCAACTAATGTAGTGCAACTTGTTCCATAACAGGTAAAAGTTCTTTCATTGACAGATCATGATACTATGTCTGGCATCCCCGAAGCACTGGAAGCAGCTCGTAGATTTGGCATTAAGATTATTCCCGGAGTTGAAATCAGTACAATGTTCTCCCAAGGGTTAGTCTATTGATTTGGTTTATTGTTCTACCTTAAACTGGACAAAGATGTGAAATTTATTTCTTGGCTTTCTCTCTCTCTCTCTCTCTCTCTCTCTAAAGTACTCTATGATACAACAAGGTCTTTCTTTAATTTTCTGTTTTTGGTGTTCCATTACAAATTTGACGACTCTGTTGATCCTGGAGATTTTCCAGTCCTGTCATCACTTCACTGCGGAATTTTAAAGGTTTTCATTACAGGAGGGACTCTGCATCAGATGAACCAGTGCACATTCTTGCATATTACAGCAGTTGCGGACCAGCAAAATTTGATCAACTAGAGAAGTTCCTGAGTAGTATACGGGATGGACGTTTCCTCCGTGCGGAGAACATGATTTCAAAACTTAACAACCTGAAGTTGCCCCTTAAGTGGGAGCAGGTAGAAAAAATTGCAGGAGAAGGAGTTGCTCCAGGGAGGTTGCATGTTGCTCGTGCTATGGTTGAAGCTGGCCATGTAGAGAATCTAAGACAGGCATTTTCCCGATATCTTTATGATGGAGGACCTGCTTATGCTACGTAATTATCAAGCTTTGGTTAGATTAAATCTATTGCTAAGGTTATTTTGTTTCATTGAAAAGTTTGATGAAGAGTGGCCGTGGTACAGGGGAAGCGAGCCACTTGCAGAGGAAACCGTCCAATTTATACGTGAGACAGGAGGCGTGGCAGTTTTGGCACATCCATGGGCATTAAAAGATCCAATAGCTGTTGTTAGAAGATTGAAAGAAGTCGGTCTACATGGTATAGAGGCCTACAGGAGTGATGGAAAACTTGCAGGTACCATACATTTTGCCCTAGTGTTTAATACTTCAACTGATTTTTGTGAATATGTTACCTCTAAATGCATAAAAATTAACTCATAGTAATAATATAATTGCATTATAGCAGAAAGCGCAAAATCAAGTTGAAATTCTTATATCAACAATTATCCTCTAACTTTTCACCTTCCCCTCTCTCTTCTATTGGTTGGACATCAAGCCAGATGTGTTGATTTTATGAATTCTTGTGCTTTTATCATTAGTGAAGGACTAGTATTGATAGGTTAGCAATGATACGAGCAAGTTTCTGGAATGACAGGTTTTGTATTTTGACTCTTCTTGATTGTTCGAAGAAAATAGGATGCTTGCAATTTCTCTGTTTGCTAAGTGTTGCCCTTGTTTCTCCCAATCTTCATGGTACATAGAAGTCGTATGCCAAAACTATTTAATGTAGATGGTTGTGTTAATTACCTTTGACAGATTCCCAGCCTATTTAGAAGTCAGTGCTTTTGTCAATGTTTCGTCCTTCACCTTGATTATATTTCGGGGTACATGTAGCATGTGGGAGCTGGTGCTCGACTTAAGCATAAATATAGTGAAAAGGTTGAAAAATATTTATTTATTCTGAGTTTGTATCCACTACCACATAGTTGTTATAGTTGGCCGTATCTGGACTTTCTTTTTGTATATTATATGGATGGAAGAGTTGCAATAGAATCAAGCTGAATTTGGGACCGCTATTCGAAATCTTAGGGAAACATTGAGATATCTTATCTCATGCCTGCTTTTCGAGAAAAAATGCCAATTGTTACTCTGCATCTTTGAAATGCCTGATCTGCCTTTAATTATATTTCCTTTCACCTGTTTCTGTGAACAGCATACAGCGACCTAGCAGATGCTTATGATCTGCTGAAGCTTGGGGGTTCGGATTTCCATGGAAGAGGGGGGAAACAGGAGTCTGAGGTGGGAAGTGTGAGCCTTCCGATGTTGGCTGTGCATGAATTCCTGAAGGTGGCCCGTCCCATCTGGTGCAGAGCGATTAGGGAAATTCTGGAGAATTACGCAGAAAATCCATCAGAAACGAATTTACAACTTATTATGAGTTTTGGAAAGCCCAAAGTTTGCAGGGGCATTTCTCCTGTGAGTTGTTCCGGTGATTTTATCAGTCGATGCTTATCGTCCTGGTTGACAAATGAGGAGAGACAGGATGCGGAATTTGAGGCCATCAAACTGAAGCTTGCCGCCATCTCAGTCAGTCAAAGATAGATGCAGGCTCTGTAGTGCCCGCAATAAGGATATCCATTTTTGCCATTATTTTGGGACACCATGGGTGAACATATATGGTTATATCTGTAGGTGGTAGTTTTCTGTTCTGTTTCCTCTCCTCCTTCCGCTCCTCGTCCTTCTCCCTCCCCCATTTTTTGGCCCTGTTTCCTATTATTGTCTCCTCTCAAATTTACATTTATATGCCACTATTATATGTGGTTGACTCAGAAGAAATGCAGATTATTTCTTGCATTACCTCTTCAAAGCTACTGAATACTATTGGAAAACCCTTGCAGAGCTTATACTGGTTAGTGGTTATACACTAGTTTTGATTTATCATTTATACCTGTGATATACCCTTTCCAGAGTAGTACTAAGCAAAACTATCGAAGCTGCAAAGGGCTGAAGGATGAAACATGCAAAGTAAAATAAGCACCTGACCTGTTGGTCTTAAACACTGTCGCGCTGTTCTTCCACTTTTCTTTTTCCTAAAATGTTTTATGCAACTGCCATGTATCTCTGGTGTGTTGTAAACCTTGGTGTGGTTGCCTCACTCTGTCCCGTATTCCTATGGCAAATAAATTTCAAATTTGAGAAGGAAAAAAAGGGACTATGGTGCACAGCAGTTTGAGGGGAGAACAACCCCTCAGAATTAAAATTAAAAGACACGTAAAAGCAGTAGCAACTATATGGAGAAAACTTAAGGTGAAAGTTCAGATGATACTAAGATGGAAGGGCAAAAAAAAAGGTGAGCGGGCAAAAGATTGTGTTTGACTATTCAATTCCTATGCAAAAACTTTAAGAGATCTATAATAGAAGTTGATATTCCATGCATATGCATGAGCTACACTAGATGAAGCTATATTTTTCATAGGAAAAGGTTTTTTTTAATAAAAAAAAAAACAAAAAACGATAGTGTTACACCCCATGTGTTCATATGTAAAGTACGTCGTAAGTCAAAGTCAATTGATGTAAGCTTAGAATGAGATCATCTTTGAAAGTATATAAAGTAAGTTAATCATGTTACCTTGGAGGTTACAAATATTTAAGATCATTAACTACAAGTACCAAGAGGGTTGGAAGGTCTATAAGCTAAACGAATCGAAGAAAATAAGTTTCGTCAAAAGTCCGCAAGTTAAGAATGTTATAACCCGCACTTTTGGGGTGAGACTAGGGCACTTAACGTGATAAGAAGATTATTTTATGAGATATTTTAGTCATATGATAGTCGTGTGTTAAGTTTTGAAGAGAAACAGAAGTCAACGAAAGTCGTCACAAGTTATGTTCATATATTTAATTGAAATTTGGATCTAATGTCACTGAGATTTTCTCCCAATATACTTGGAGTTATGGAGTAATCCACCCATCAAATAGAAGATCTAAGAGTCTAGTTTCCAATGCATTAAACCGTGCGTCAATACGACATCAGAATCGAAAGATATTCACATTTTCGCGAGACTGCGCAAGTAGCTCACTATGGGGCCCACTTAGGCGGTGGATGACCCTTGAACATTTTAAAGTGGTTGGAAGGCTCATTTTTGGTCATGTTCGACCAAGAACAGTTCCCAAACTCTCTTAACACCTCTCTAAAAGTTCTGGAAGGTTCCAAGTTGAATCAAAGGTGGTTTTACCTAAATCTAACCTCAAAAGTTAGCCTAAGTGAAGAAAAGAGTCTCAATGGCATTGTGATGTCATTAAAGGTGCTTGTAAGCTAAGGGAAGCTTTGGTTCGAGTTTGTTCAGATTATTTAAGGTAAGTATTACACCCTATTGCTTGTGCTTAATCTTATCTATGTGTTGGTTAAGTTAATTTGATGAAGAACTACAAGATAGAACTTGAAGAGGTATAAAAAGTTGTTGTCTCTTATTGGACTATTTTGGAGTTGCATATATGAGTTCATATGGGTGAAAATTGTGGGGAATAACTTGGTTATAATTTTGTTATTGTTGTTGTGCTCTTCAGTATGTTGATGCTGTTATAATTAGGAGAAGAAGGGGCCACACATTNTATATATATATATGTATGTTTATATGCCGGACCTGTTGATGGTGTTGTAAGTACAAGGGAGATGGGAAAAAGAGTTGGGGTTTGGTTCCAATCCAAGCTTGTCACTCGTCGTGATAAATAGTAGTTTCGCTGGTGACGTTGGTGCACTTGTTGTTGTGTAGCTTGATTTGTGTTGTTGGGCTCTTGGGCGTGTTGTGATGCTGAAAGTATATAGTTGAAGGTTGTATTTGTTCTAGTTGTTTTTATGGACTTGGAAAAAGTAAGGAAAACAAGGAAGACAATGCCCGTTTTGATATAAAATAAGCTTGTCGTTCGTTGTACGATAGTTTTATCTTTTGTAGCTTAACGATAGTATTATTAGATTTGTTGTATATTAAAGTACGACGAGACGAGTTCAACATGGTTCTGGGACAGATTGTGATAATGTATGTTATAGCTTTTGGCATGATCCAGGTAACGACACGTAAACGTAAAGTTATTTCATAAATGGTTCCACTCTTAGTAGTTAAGGAAGTCTACGTTATTCATGCCTGCGAAATATAATCTAAAGCATGTCTAAGTATGTTCATTAGTCTCTATTGAGGCATATGATAAATATTTTAATGTTCATAATGTAGTGTTATATACATCTTCATTTACCACTAAGCTACGGACGGTCGGTCAGTTACTAGCGATTGGGCAGTTATGTATTACCACTAGTTGGGCACACATGTATTTATCACCGAGCTACGATCGGTCGGATAGTTACTATTGTTCAGTTGGGCAATCATGTTACGATATGGATAACAGTCCCAAAGATAGGTTGATTCTTATATCTCTCTCATTGATGTTGGCTTATTGTTATTTTCAGTTCTGCCTTACATACTCGGTACATTATACGTACTGACGTCCTTTTTGTTGTGGATGCTACATTTATGCCTGCAGGTGTAGGTAATCAGTTTGATGAGCCCTCATAGTAGACGAAGTTAACATTCAGTTAAGGATCAGTAAGACTCCACTTCATTCGGAGTGCAGGCGAGTCTATAAGTCATCGTGTCAGAGTTTTGCTACAGACTTATGGGTAGGCTGGGGCCATGGCCCGACCATGTTTTGATGTCAAATATTTTTAGAGGCTTTGTAGACACATATTCATTATGTATAGCATGTCAGAGGCCTCGACGGCCCATGTGTATTCATGTTTTGAGTTTGATGGTTCGCTGATACATCATTTCCCCACTTACAGTTACATATTACGAGTGGTGGCCATGTTGGCCCATGATAGTTACAACAAGAATGAGTTCAGCCAAGTCGGCCTATGTATGTTCTAGTATTCATCAAACGATCATGAGTTACATAGTGGTTCGCTCGGGCCGGTACGACACCAGGTGTCAGTTACGCCTCCAAGGTTGAGTTAGTTCAACCGGGATATCATTATTCTGTTAGTTTCATTGATGATTGATCAAGATATACTTGGATTTTCCTAATGAAATATCGTTCTGAGTTATTTTTTATATTCCAAAGTTTTTGTGATGAAATAAAAAATCAGTTTGGTATTTCTATACGCATCTTTTATAGTGATAATGCATTAGAATACTTATCCTCTCAACTTCAGTAGTTTATGACTTCTCAGGGAAATTATTCACTAGACTTCGTGTCCATATACCCCTCAGTAAAATGGGGGTTGCAGAGAGAAAGAATAGGTACCTCAGCAGGATTGATCGTACATTTCTCATTGAGTCTCATGTTGTGCTGCATTTTTTTGGAGATGCAGTTCTCATAGCTTGTTATTTGATTACCCAGATGCCTTCATCTTCCATCCAAAATCAAATTCCGCATTCACTACTTTTAGGAGAATATGTTTTGTTCATAAATTCGCTCCCGTAAAAGATAAGTTAGCTCATCGTGTTCTCAAGTGTGTCTTCCTTCAGTATTCTTGAGTTCAAAAGGGATATCGTTGCTACTCACTTGATATTTGTAGGTAACTTATATCAGCTGATATCATATTTTTTAGTCTAAGCCATACTTTACCTATTCTAACCACCTTGCTTTTCATGATCCAAAATCCTTCATTAGGCGTTATGATGACACCTAATCTCTAAGACTAAATAAGCCGATTACTTACAATACTTAAACCGGTGAAACATTATATTTTAAAACATAATTTAATGTAAATACCGAGATAAATGTGACATAAGCCTATATGGCAATAACCACAATAATTCTGTAAGTCCCCAAAAATTTCACCTAAAAACCTGGCGTTACGATGCCAAGGTGGACTTATGTGTTGATGATTGTAGAGATTCTTCGCGGCGAGAAGGACTTTTTGGATTGAACAGTGCATTGGGTAGTTGAAGGAAATTTTTGGCAGAACAGGGCATTTTTGCGGTCCTCTATGCAACCGCAGAATCACTCTGCGGGCCGCATATCGACCCACAGATTGCAACATAAAAGTGGCCAATTTTGGAGGGTCGTTGTGTGGTCCAATATTCCATCGCATAATGCTTTCGCGGGTCGCACAATCCATCGCATACCCAGCATAAAGATTTTCGGAGGGGAGTTGTGCAGTGCATTATGCGACCACAAACCCGGTCTGCAAGTCACAGACCTGACCTGAACAACCCAGTTCTTGACATCACTTCTGCAACCCATTTTACAGATCGCATATCTATTCTATGGTCCACTCTGCAACCGCAAAGCTTTGTTCGGAGGGTCCATTTTCTGGTTTATATAACCTGACCCTATTTCGATATATAGACGTTAATAGTCATTTGTAAGGTAAAAATCTGATATTTTAAGAGTGAGGAAGTGCTCTAGAGTGAGAGAGGGTTCCTAAACTAATTGTTCATCAATTCTTGCTCAAGGCTTGGAGGATTAATAAGGAAAACTCACTAGGTCTTCATCCTAGAGGTAAGATTCTACTCACTAGGCCTTCATCCTAGGGGTAAGATTCTATTCCCTAGCCCTCAATTTCGGGATTTAACTGAAACTAGGTAATGAGAAAAGCAATTCTTGGGTGTGGGAGTTGTTCATTATTCATGCATGTACTATCAAGATTTGTGGGAAGATTGTTAAGCTTAATTGGGTAGACTTTGGGTAGTGGGATAAAGGAATCCTCCATAGGAGGGCCTTGAAATCATAATGCCCACCTAGTGTTTGATAAAATGCTCAAATGAGCTGGAACCATGAACTCCTTCCTAATTTGGGTTCAATTTTGATATATTACCAAATAGATCAAAGTGGCTAAGATTTTTGAACATTGTAGTAATTTAAGGAAGCTTAAGGCGAGGTATGTTGGATAAACTTCTCTCTTAGAATC